TGAACCTACTAACCATCCCAACTGAGTAGCAAATATCAGGTCTGGTATTGCACAGATATCTCAGAGAACCAACCAACTGTTTGAAGGTTGTAGCGTCCACATCTTTTCCTTCAGAGTCTGAATCCAGTTTCTGATTTGTATCAGAAGGTGTGACAGCCATCTTACAATTCTTCAGATCAAATCTCTTCAGAAGTTCTAATTCATACTTGAGCTGATGCAAAATGATTCCTTTCTCAGAATATCTGAACTCCATCCCTAGAAAGTATGTCATTTTTCCTAGATCAGTCATTTCAAATTCATTCATCAGAACTTTCTTGAACTTGGCTATCTCCTGTTCAGAACTTCCAGTCAATAGTATATCATCAACATATAAACATACCAGAGTCATATTGCCTTCAGAAGTATGCTGAACATAGACACCGTACTCCATCTCACATTTCTTAAAGCCTTGCTTCTTAAAAAATGAATCAATCTTCTGATTCCGAGCTCTGGGCGCTTGTTTCAATCCATATAGAGCTTTGTATAATCTGTACACCATCCCTTCCTGATTCTCTTTCACAAATCCAGGAGGTTGTGACACGTAAACTTCTTCTTCTAATGGATCGTTCAGAAATGCAGATTTTATATCTAAATGCATCAGAGGCCAATTCCTATTAGCAGCTATTGCAATCACCATTCTGATTGTTTCATGTCTTACTACAGGTGCAAACACTTCAGAGTAATCCAGCCCAGGTTTTTGTAGAAATCCTCTGGCTACCAACCTTGCTTTATGTTTGCCAATTGAGCCATCTGGCTTTAACTTCTGCTTGAAAACCCATCTGACGCTGATGGCTTTCTTGTCTTTTGGAAGTTCTGTCAGCTTCCAAGTCTTGTTTCTCTCTATAGCATCAAGTTCTTCTTTCATGGCCTTCAGCCAGAGCTTCTGCTTAAGAGCCTCCTCTGTACTTATAGGTTCAGAGTCTACTAACATGGCACACTGAATAACTTCTCCTTCAGAGTCTACTTCAGTGTCTTGCAGCATGTCAAATTCTGCATATCTTCTGGGGACATTTCTGATTCTTTGTGGTCTCTGAACTTGTTTAGAGTCTTGGGATTCAGATGATTGACTTTCTCCAGAGCTTTGACCAACTTCAGGATCTGGCATATTTTCAGAGTCTTGGCCATCTTCAGAGTCTGAATTGCCACCAGAATCTGGATTACCATCAGAGTCTGGATCATCAGAGTCACCTTCATCTTCTGAGTCTTCTCTAGAGTCAGAATCAACGTCAGAATTTACTCCAACTTCAGAAATTCTTAACTCTGACCTTTCTTCAAAAGTTCTAACATCAGAATCAGATTGAGACTTATCCCAATTCCAAACTTCTGATTCCTTCACAATCACATCTCTGCTGAATTCAATTTTATTGGTTTCTGGACAATAGAGCTTGTATGCACCTGTACTGTGGTACCCTATCAGAATCATCACTTTGCTTCTATCATCCAGCTTCTGTCTTCTGGCTTCTGGAACATGTTTATAGCAAACAGAATCAAACACCTTCAGATGACTAACACTTTGCTTATCTCCAGTCCACTTCTGTATTGGAACTATTTCCTTCAACTTCTTCGTAGGACACCTGTTGAGTACATACGTTGCAGTGGCAACAGCTTCTCCCCAGAGCTTCTGAGGAAGCTTCTTCTCCTTTAGCATGCTTCTCACCATATCAAGCAAAGTACGGTTTCTTCTTTCAGCAAGACCATTGTGTTGAGGGGTATAAGGAGCAGTAACCTCATGCTCAATTCCATTCTCCTCACAGAACTTCTGGAACTCTTTGGAGTTATACTCACCTCCACCATCAGTTCTAAGAATCTTCAACTTTTGACCACTCTGATTCTCAGCCTTCATTCTGAACTTCTTGAATTCATCAAACACCTCATGTTTAAATTTAATAAGGGATGCCCATGTCATTCTTGTGAATTCATCAACAAACAACACAAAGTACTTATTCCCTCCAATTAATGCTACTGGAAATGGACCACACACATCAGAATGTACGACTCCCAAGGCATGTTTTGCTCTTGGAGCAACTTCTGACGCAAATGGCAAACGTGGTTGTTTTCCTTCCATGAAAACTTTGCATGACTTCTCAGGCTTCTTAATTGCAGGAATTCCATGTACCAGCTTCTTTGAATTCAGATGTTTTAGGCTTCTGAAATTCAAATGACCAAATCTTCTGTGCCACAACTCACTCTCCTTCTCAGCACATGTTGCACTAAGACATTCTAAGTCTGCAGTTCTGACATTCACCTTGAATGTTCTATTCCTTCCCTGTTCTGACTCCATAATCAACTTCTGATTGTAGTCATACAGCTTCAGAAGATTGTCCTTCATGGTAACTGAAAAACCTTTCTCAATTAATTGTCCCACACTCATCAGATTGCTTCTGATGCCAGGTACATACCACACGTTCTGAATCAATGTTGTTTTCCCATTGTTCAAAGTCACTCTGACATTTCCCATACCTTCTGCATTAAGATATTTATCATCAGCACATCTGATCTTTGTCCTTTTTTCAGAGTCAAAGTCAACCAGCCATTTCTTGTTTCCAGTAAGGTGATTTGAACAACCATTGTCCATATACCACCAGTCTGTCAGATCCATATTATCAGATTCAGAAGCCATCAATAGCACAGATTCGTCATCAGAACTTCTGGCTATATTTGCTTCTTCTGATTTTCTCTCCTTGTTTGACCAACAATCTCTAGCAAAGTGACCAAACTTCTTACAACAGTAACATTGGATCTTCTTCTTGTCATACTTCTCTTTTCCCTTCTGAGCATTCTTTTGTCTATCAGAGGTTGAGCTTTCTGACTTCTGACCACCATCAGATCTTCTCTTGGCTTCTGACTGCTTCTGATACCTCCTATCAGAAGTTGCTTTCAGAGCCTGCTGCTCTACTTCCCTTTCAGAAGTTCTCTCAGTCAAACGCAACTCTTGCGCTTCTAAACTGCTCTGCAGCTCTTCAATTCTCATGGTACTCAGATCTTTGGAATGTTCTATTGCTACCATAATGTAATCAAATTGAGAGGTAAGGGATCTCAATACCTTCTCCATGATTGTTTCTTCAGAAAGAGTTTCTCCACGCGCCTTCATCTCATTAGTGATCAGAATCACTCTGGAGATGTATTCAGAAACTTTCTCATTATTCTTCATGTTGAGATTCTCATATTTCTTTCTCAAGGACTGAAGCTTCACCTTCTTCACTGATACGTCACCACCATAACATCTAACCAGTGTGTCCCACGCAGCCTTTGTTGTCGTTGAATCTGCAATCTTCTCAAACACATTTACATCAACACATTGATGAATAAAAAATAATGCTTTCTGATCCTTCTTCCTTACTTCCTTCTGCGTGTTTTTCTGTTCATCCGTTGCATCTGCTGCTACCGGAACATAACCATCAGTGACAAGATCTAAAACATATTGAGCACCAAACAGTACACGCATTTGGATCATCCAACGATTCCATTTTTTACCGTCAAATACTGGAAGCTTGGTGTTCATGTTGCCGTTTTCGTTCATCTTCACCTTGCACAATACACTCAGATTTCTCACACAGTGTTTCCCAACCCACAGAATAAAATTCTGATCAGATTTTGTTCAAGATTCAATACGAATCTAAGAATCAAAATCAAACACACAAGACCTCACGTTCACTCGTGTTTCCCGTGTTTTCCAATGAATCCGAACCGGAGCTCTAGATACCAATTGTTGGTGCAAAGGTAGAATAAATGATGAAAAGGAGAAATATTCTTATTAAGAATGACGGCTACAAAACATGATAAAAGTTACAGTGATTGTCCCCCTATTTATAAGCTAAAACTAGGGTTACTAGAATAAGATAAAATACTAAAATACCCTCTAACAAACTTAGGGGCTAAGAAAATAGTACAACTAAATAAATATGAATTACTATTAATATTCTAATAAATTTGAGATTTGAGATTTTTTAAATATTAAAAAATGAAATGCTAAGAGTCCTATAATTTTTTTTTACTTGAACCATTAAATTTTGAGCTTCCTTGTTCAACTAACAAAAATAATTCACTTCATTCACACACTCTAATTTGGTATATCTACAAGATTTCTGAAACCATTTTCACATTTTTGTTTGAAGAGTGTCACATTACAAAAGAGACTATCACATTCTAAAATTTCATGGCGAGGGTGAGTACTGGTTCACACATCTATCATTTGAGTCAACTTTTGAATCAACAATGACTAAAAAATAAATTTATTTCTACACGTCCACGAGATCTAGCAAATTGTCATGACAGTTGTATGTCATCTACAGAGTCGTCTCAAATTTTTAGAGGTCATGTATATGTTGGTCATGATTCAATCATGACAAAATAATTAGAGGTTTGATTTAACCAAGTTTTAACAAGTGACAAAGATTTATAAAACCTTATTTAATTATGATTTAACCGTGAAAAACTTAAAATTTTATGTAGTAACATGTTTTGCACGTCTTCAAAGACGACAATACATTTAGTGTGATTAGTTTCAGTTTCTTATTTGTTGGAAGATGATATACTTCAAAATTTAACATCTTCAAAACACCAAACACCAATTAGAGTATTTTGGTTTTAATATTTTATTTTAAATTTAACAATATTGATTTATATTGAAATTGGCCCACATATAATATGTTCTGTGTATCATGACAATAGAAAAAGTTGTAGTACAATATTTTTTCCAACATATCTGTGATTCAAAGGAATGAAAATTCAAATTTAACTCATTGTCATAAGAATAATTTGATCACTTCATTTTAATTTCATTTACAAATTAAATGCATGTGTTACTATCTTCCTTCATTGAAGAATTTGAATAATGAATGAATTCTATACACAATATACAAATGAATTTGAGCTACCATATGTTTCTTTCAACCGGCCATCTCAACAAAACATGAGACCTTTCTCTTTTGAGAACTGTGTCCATTTTGGTAAATTTTCCATCACCTAAGCAATGAATGAGAATGCTTCAATAATTGTTGTAATGGTGGTTGTCCTTGTGCTTTACACAACAACCCTTTCATTCTTTCAGCCACCTAAATTTCATTATCATAGTTAATAATTAAAACCTATTTAACAAAACTTGAAAGAAAAACAAAACATTATGCTTATGTATGAATAAATACCTTTCCCAAACTACCCCTAGCATATGGAACTGTCCTTGGATATGAAAATGAAGTTGGAGGAGATTTTCTACTTGTCTCTTCTCTACATGGTGATTTTCCATTTGTTTTGCTTCTTGTAACAATGCTAGAAGACCCATACCATTTGCTTTTATCATTGTTATGCAATGTATTTGGTAGACTAGATTCCTAACATTACCAAATAAACCATAACAATTATATAAGAAACTTTAATTTATTTTCAGATAATTAGCAAATAGTAGAATTGAAATATTCATGGAGATTAATTCTTTTCATACCAGAAACAACACTGTTGCACAGTGCTTGACAACCTCCAAGTTCATCCTAACATCATCTAGACTCCTGCTTCAAATTAATCACAAATTTTTTACAAAACACATTATAATCACGTAGGCCGATAATAAAAACCTGATAGTAAACACATATTCAAGTCATATATTATCTGATGTTGGACTTTTAACAAATTTTTTGGATAAACAACTTAATTAAACGTGTCGTTACCTATGCTTTTGTTCTCCTAAGCCAAAATAAGAAGCCAAAGTTGCCATCTGTTTATATAAATAACCGTTGTTAAAATCTTGAAATTGCGATGAACGATGAATCATGAATGATGATCACATGCAAGTTCTTCTTTACATACCTTCATATTACCAGCTCTTCTTCCAAATTTCTCAGTAAGAACAACCAAAGAATCAATGATTCCAACAGGCACAGGTGCAGCCCTATTGATACCATCAAAAGCTTCTTTGATACGAACACAATCAAATCTCTGAATGTTATGACCAGCCCAAACCTTTCCATTCAAAATACTGAATATCCTCTCTGCAACATCTTCAAAAGATGGTGCAATTTTCACAGCTTCTCGTGTTATTCCACCGATTCTGCTAGATTTCACTGGCACAACAGATAAATCTTTTGGCCTTATCAATGTTGTGTAGCTCTCGATTTCGTTGAGTTTGTGAGCACTGACTACAATTGCGCCGAATTCGAGGACCCAGAATTGTTGTCCAATTTTTTTTGGCACGTTAGTTTCTAAATCAAAGAACACAATTTCTGGTGCATGTAACTCAATATTGCATGGACTTGAAACCTTCTCCATAATAAAGTTAATTTTCTGTATGATTATTTTCTTTAACTTGCTTAATTGACGTGTTAAATTTGGTTTAATGTGTTTAGTATTTATAGATGAAGTTTAGGTGATAGGTACGTAATCCTTTGGAACAGGAAAAGGAGAAATGAAATTCTTGTTTGTGAAGGTTGATTGTCTCCAAGTTGAAGTCACTATGCATGGAGAATATGTAACATGGAGAGTTAAGATTCACTTTGCTTCTTTCTAATTATTGCCTCTTCAACAGGAAACTTGCAATGAAAACTTTGGCCTTGGACTTGGACATGTCAAGAACTCTCCTCCTTTATGATTGATTCTGTGCCAAAATAAGCATATACTATGCTGCCAATAAATTATATCATTTATTTAATTAATTAATTAATTAATTAATTAATCCATGTATGTAATGTAGCGATTAATTATATCTAGTTTTGGTTTGTGACTGTGTTTTGAAGCCTAAGTAAAGAGACCATATGGGCTTTACTAAATACAAATTGGGCTCCTATTCTTCTCTACCATGAAATTTTATCCAATCTCCACTTCAACAATTTATGTTATTTGACTAAAATATCCTTGTATAAATGGTATATGTTTCAAAAATTTTAAAAATTTTTTTCATTTCAATTTTAAGTTATTCGGTCCACTGAGAGAAGTTGAGAGAATTCGTAAAAATTTTGTGTAACGGAAATATTTTTTCCAAGTAAATCCACAAAATTAGACTGGAAATCTTTTCCGCAATACACAAAACTATATCGAAAGTCTTTCCTCAAGTCTTCCAATACACAAAACAATCTTGTAAGTCTTTCTCCGAAGTCTTCAAGTCCACATATCACCACCAAAGGTCTTACTTTCAAGTTATCTGGTCCACAAATTTAACATACCAAAAGACTCTTTAGTAAGTTCTCCAAATCTTTTTTTAGTTTGGTCACAATATCTCTTTTATGAAAGACTTTCAGTTTTGTTTTTTTTATCAAAGTTAATAAAAATTGTTTTTTATTTTATAGATTTAAGATGAGGAGCAAAAGAAATGACAATAGAATTATTCGTCGTACAAGCGTAGGATACCTGCCTCATATGTACAGGAAAAACAGATAGGTGGACCTGAGCTAGAGTCGCTTCGGTACTCCAACAGGTCGTACGATACGAGCACCATATTGCTCGCATTTATTATACGTTGAGGTAAGTAAATTTCAAACATTTTATGTAGTTATCGTACAATGAGGTAAGTACCACGATGAATCGTACAAAACATCTCTCCTCGTATAATGAAGGACCGTGAGATCCTATCCTATCAATATTTCACAGGAGCTTCATCGTTATCTCCAACGATTAGGGTTACTGAGGACGACCCTGAGTTTGCGTAAATATTTATGTATTATTATTTTGAGATTGATGTATTATTTTGATATTCATGTTAGTTATAATTTTGAGTTAATAGCATCTAATATAATACGATGTATTATTTTAAGCTAACAATGTTTAACGCTACAAATGTAAGTTGTTGTCAATGTTGTAAACGCCCTGAAAATCCTAACATCCAAGACGTTGCTTCTTGGAAATGTCATTTCTTTCAATCTAATGTGACTTATGGAAACGGAAAATCCTTGCTTCATTTTTACCTGATTAGGAAAATTACGTCAAAATTGACAAACATTTAAAACATTACGTCAAGATTAACTAACATAACTATATAACTACATGGACCCAATGATTTTGGTTTACAAAACCAATACACTAAATAGATATGGTGGATGAATGTGATGTCGTCATAGGAAAGAAAGGCATACTAGGATACCCTAAACAAACAAGAATGATATTATACTGATTTGTCCATGACGGTAAAATGACGTAAACATCAATACAAAGAAGTACTTGTCCGTGACAGAAAAATGACATAAACATCATAACAAAAAACAACAAAATGGCCCTAAGTGAAACTAGGCTTGAGATGGTTGTGTATGTTGTAGTGTATGTGATGAGCTTCCAATCTATGTTAGACATGTCTTTGTTATCTTCTTATTTCCACCCTTTGATGCACATGACTCCTCTTATTATTATTATTATTATTATTATTATTATTATTATTATTATTATTATTATTATTATTATTATTATTATTATTATTATTATTATTATTATTATTATTATTTCTACCTTTTAGAATGGCCCTATCAGTAGTCCTTTTTCCCTTACAACTCCTCTTATTGTATCCCATGGCTTCACACTTTTGACAAGTAATTGTTGTTAGCTTTATAGGAAGCAGATATGGATTTATAAGCTCATCATTGAACTTGTCTTTCACCTTCTAGGGACGACTAATTGTCCTTCTCATTACTAGTGGATTGATTGCTACTTGGCCATCCAAAAGCCATAATTGTAGCTCATTTGTAAGGTAGATTATAAGTGAGTAAGTGTTCTTAAAGGTAGAATTCATGCACACAGAAAGTAATACACATGTTATGCATAAATTAAGCCATATTTTAAAACATAAATCAGAGACATATATTAATGACATAAACCTGTAATATTTAGAGACATATTCTTCTGGTTTTACTTGTTTTGCCATGTACACGTATGGCATGACTACATGGTATTTCAGTTAAATCTCATTTTCTACATGCACATGTATCTTGTTTTAGATTGACATAATAGATTTCAATGCTATTGGTCCCACCATAGATGGTTATATCGTCATCGCCACGCCATTCGTATAGGTCACACTTAGAATTGTGCAGCGCAAAAAATAACCACGGGCATTCACACAAACTTTATTTACGCCACCGAACTTTATTTGTTCTAAAATAAAAGGGAAAATATCTATAAAATCCCAAAAGAAAAATAAAATGGTCGCGACAATCAAATTCGGGTTTGGGAGTCGGTTATGAAAGGGAAATATATTAGCACCCCCCACATCAGTTGTACTCAACGGGAATCATTTAGTTAGATTTGTGAATAGAATTTTAGTTATCATTATTTATTTTCTTCTAGCTATTAAAAGATTTAAAAGGAAAAAGAAAATGGCACAAAATAGTTTTTTATTAGGGTGCTTGAGAAAATCGCGAGTCTTACTCCTAGGTATCCTCAGGTGCGATGTAAAATTCAGAGCTACTTAGTTATGGGAAAGACAAAGAATATTTTTGGGTTTTTTGTTATAGTGCTTGATGATACGTTGAATCTCGATCTTACGTATCTCAGGTGCGATGGGGAACTAAAAGCTACGTAGTTCTTGGTAGAAAACCACGTATTTGTTAGTTGATTTTAGTGAACAAGTGTTTAGGTCACATTCTAGTGGTTAAACATTGCTTGTCTGCTCACGCGGGGATAACTTAAGTGTTTGTTTGTATCACAAAAGAATGGATAAAACATTGTTCGTTTGTGAAAAGGTTTTCGATCATGCGGGGTGAGAAAAATATAGTTTAATTGGCTGAGATTGCTTTTAGAAAGATGGCGAGTGCTCGGATGGTCGAGCTATACAGCTCGTATCCAAGTACTCGGGGAGGAAATAGGTATACACCCAATGAATCCTTTTTCATCCAAGTTTATAATAAAAAGATTGAAGAAGTGAAAGTGAAAAAAAAAGACGTTTTGAAAATTATTTATAAGTGAAAAGAGGAAATTCAAGAGTTTTTATAAGTGGCTGGGGTTAGTGGGCCACGTGTGTACTCAGGATGAGTTAGTAGAGGTGGCGGTTGTAACCTATGCTCTGTAGGGGTAATGATGGTTCACGATTTTGGTGATTCCCGAGAAATTTGCCATGATGTTCATGACGTCAGAGATCGTGCATCAAGGTGGCGTAACAGTTCCTTTTTTGCGTGAGATTGTGGATATGTCCTCTCCCATCACCTTTCAGTTTCCTAAACTCGAAGCAGTTGAAAGTGGGTCAACGATCAGGATATAGTCGAAGGTAAACGGCGTCGAATTTGGATGCTGTCAAAAAATGTACTTTTTGTAGTGTCGAAAACTACATTTTTTGGGGGCAATTTGTTAGCTCGCCAATTCGACGACCCATGTTTGGAGGCTATTTTCAGCTTGTTAAAAGACCTACAAGTCTTCCAAGGACTTAGAAAAATTGAAGTCTTGAAATTAGACACTTCGACTTAAGCAGCGAAATGGTATCTTCGACCGAGATTTAGAAGGGGGGACGAATTGAGTTTTGAAATTCGAATATTGGAGGGAGTAGTTAGATTTTCTTATGACTAAGAAGGACAAGTGGCTCTCATCGGATAAAGGACTGCATGCGGTCTGACACTTGTCAGGAATAGATGGCTTAAGGAGGTTATTAGCGGTTATTAGCAGTTACTATTATTGTTATAAATAGGAGTCTTAGACATAAACTTAGTGTGTTGTAATTTACTGTTGTACAAGTCACTCTTAAAATTACTCCAAGTATCCGAGTGTAGAGAAAGAGAGTATTATAGAGAATGTACGTGATGTAAACACACCATCCTTTATCTTTTCAATGAAGTTACTTTGTTTTCTTTACTTTTGTCAAGTACTTTTACTTATTTATTTCGTCTTTCCTTTTGTTCATCATTACCACTTCGATTAAGTATTTCTCTCCCAAAAAACCTTTATCTCTTTTCCCTCTTGTAATTTTTCTTCCTTCTTTCTTTTAAACATAGTGGATGATTTCTGCCCCTTTTAAATTATTTCTTCTTAGTATTGTTGAAACACATTTTTAGATAGGTTCAAATAGAAATACCCTTTAGCACATATCCTAGGATTTCGTATGGTCAATCCTGCAAGTTAGTCAATTTGACACCAAATTGATAGACCAGAGGTTGTTTACCAAAAAAACACGGTAAACAAAATGGCACACCCAGTGGGACAGTGCTGAACAAAGAAAGTTTTGAGATCATAAAACTCTAGAAATATAAGCCTTATCAACTTTTCTTCAAAATACATTGTATGTTACTAAGAAGTGGCAGAATAACCACTACGAACGAAGAAAGTTTAGTAAGACGTAACACTAGGAATATGGCGACGGAACC